ATGAAAACTGTCAAAAAATTAATAGTGCTTGGATTAGACACCTCTAGGGCCTCAATCCTTTCATCCAGACTTTTTACTTCAGTCATTGCTGTGGAAACCAGCTACATAGCTGTAACCTGACAGTGTATTGCCTCAGCCGGGAGGAGGTCCTATCAACCCTGTGGTTGTCTGCAGAAACCCTCTCAGCCTTCTGATGTCTGCGCAAATTTGGAAGAACAAGGCAGTTCAGGCCCTATGGGGTGACCCTTGACAAAGAGAAAATGTGAGATAGTGAATTGATATTTCAAGTCATATGCCAAATGAACTTTTAACAACCAGCTCTCTAACAAAAATAGCCCTGATTTGTGGCTTTCACCAACTTCTACGGTGTAAACATTCCCACTGTCAATTTCATACATGTCAATTTCATGCTACCAACCTGATGTCACTGAGCACAAAGTTGTCACAAGATATGCACAACAGGCCATGCCAAGTTGGGCAAGCGGGTTCCAACACACCATTGAATATATTCACCTCTTCCATCTCTCCTCTCTCTCTCTCTCTCTCTCTCTCTCTCTCTCTCTCTCTCTCTCTCAGAGACAGGATCTCACTCTGTCATCCAGGCTGGAGTGCAGTAGCATGACCACAGCTCACTGCAGCCTCAACCTTCCATCTCTTGGATGAACAATCTGAAGCACATTCTACAGTGAGACTATGTCTTAGTTGCCCAGAGTGGTGACCGATTTGATAATACACTTTTGAATGGCCTTTCCCTCCTTCCCTGCTTCTCTTTCTCTAGCCCTCCACTCCCATTCTCTGGGGGCACTTCCCAAAAGACAATCTGCACAGAAGCCCTTGTACCAGGGTCTTTCTGGGGAAACCCAAGTAAGACAGAGGTTATTCTGCAATATGACAATTCTGGATAATTTCGATTTTTTTATGTGTGCTTTTAAAATGTTGTCCATTTCTTCCATCAAACATGCCACTTATGTAATATTAATATAAAGGTAAAATCCATGTTATTTATAATTGTGGGTGAATTTTATATTATAATGGGATCTTGGTAAGTTGGAAATCATTGTACAATTTAGAAAGATTCAGCCTAGAGTACATGTTCGTCGTTCTCCACACCTGCTGTTCCTATCTTCCTAATTTTGAAGATATGAGACTGATCCATACCAGAGGAATTGAAAGAAGGGTAGAACCAGAAAAACAAGGACTAAAGAAAAAGAAAGGTTTCCTTATTTTTTTTTGTTGGCTTATTTTCCCCTTAATCCCACCAAGGATCCATTAAAGGATAATGAAAATAACAGCTACTGATGAAAAAACTGATTGACAAAGTCTAATGAGCAGAAAAAGTGATTTGGCATACTATTCATATTTAGAGATAATTGCTATAGATAAATGAGTCTTAAAAACATGTCCATCAACAAGGAAGCAATAATGTTATTACATTCAGGACACGTTTCATTCCAAAGAAACCTTCACAAAGAAAAAAAAATTGTTATTAAAAGAGAATGTAGTTAAGCATTCCAGATGCAAAAAAAGGTATAAAAATCTATAGACGTTAGAAATGGCCAGGGAAATATAATAGAACAAACATTTTTGTTCACGATATAAAAAATAACACACAGTGTAGTATTAAACTCCACAAGAAATACATGGCGGTGGCCGGGCGCAGTGCCTCGCCCCTGTAATCCCAGCACTTTGGGAGGCCGAGGCAGGTGGATCATGAGGTCAAGAGATTGAGACCATCCTGGCCAAAATGGTGAAATCTCGTCTCCACTAAAAATACAAAAATTAGCTGGGCATGGTGGTGTGCACCTGTAATCCTAGCTACTCAGGAGGCTGAGGCAGGAGAATCACGTGAGCCGGGGAGACAGAGGTTGCAATGAGCTGAGATCATGCCACTGCACTTCAGCCTTGCAACAGAGTGAGACTCTGTCTCAAAAAAAAAACAAAAAAGAAAGAAAGAAATATGTGGTGTTTACATCTGGAAAATTGCAAAATTATACTGAGGAATATGATTCTTAGAGAAACCGAGGGATAGCCACATGAAGGAACTTGGAGTCCTTAATTCTCTTTCCATCCATAGATAAGACCAAAGAGACCATATTAACCCCCTGTGGTTACACTGCATGAAGAATCTTTTCGGCTTACCTCCTTTCAATTTGCTTTGTCTGTAATCAACCTTTCTTTCTCTCACTACATATATGGATATAGATGTATATAGATAAATATACACATACATGTACACACACACACACACAACCCTAACTATGGAAAGAAACACATCCAAAGCCTTGAAAAAGTCTACATATTATAGTTTTCTGTTTTTGTTTTTTTTTGGTGGGTTTTTTTTTTTTTGAGACAGTCTCTCTGTTGCCCAGGCTGGAGTACAGTGGTACAATCTCAGCTCACTGCAACCTCTGCCTCCCAGATACAAGCGATTCTCCTACCTCAGTCTCCCGAGTAGCTGGGATTACAGGTGCCTGCCACCACGCCTGGCTAATTTTTGTCTTTTTGGTAGAGACGGGGTTTCACCATGTTGCCCAGGCAGGTCACGAACTTCTGGCCTCAAGTGATCTGCCCACCTCTGCCTCCCAAAGTGCTGGGATTACAGGTATAAGCCACAATGCCTAGCTTTATACAGTATAGATTTACAGTGACATGTTTTCCTTCCTTAAAATTTCCATTTTCTAGAAGACTATTGTATGTATTACTTTTATAATCAGAAAAAAATATTTAAAATCAATTGAATTTTATGTTATGTGTTTTTCTTAATCACAAAAAGAAAAAACTTTAATCAAGTTCAACTGGAAAACACTTTCAGATTCTCAGGTATTTACACATGAATTCTCTCATCAAGGCTGTATTTCTACCCGCCTGGTAGCAGTCATCAAAATTCAGCCATCAAGTGTGAGGCACTCGTGGGGCCAGGCATTATGAAGGCAGCCAACGTCAGTGGCAGCACTTGTCACAACAGGGAAGCTTGAAAGCTCTGCAGTGGAGGTGAAAGTGTGACTTAGCAATATCTTGGCAAGGGGCACTATGACAGACATGGACTCAGCGACAGAGTGCTGTTCTCCCCTTAGGCAACTGGTTTTTGTCTTGCAGACCCTCTGGGTCAGGTGCTGCTTTTTATGTCCCCCTTTCCTCTGGCCTTGAGAAAGTTCAGAATCCAGTTGTGTAACATCTTTTGCAACTCCATGTGACCCTAGGTACACATTTTCAGAACAACTTTATTTTCTTGTTCATCCTTTCTCTTTCACTTGATTTTTTTTTTTAATTTTGGAGATTCTACTGTATTTGATGTCTCTGTATAACCTGCCTAAAATCATTTTGGAAGAAAATGAACACAGAAGCCCTATGCAGTGGCTCAGGCCTATAATCCCAGCACTTTGGGAGGCCACAGCCAGCGAATCTCAAGGTCGGAAGATCGAGACCATCCTAACACGATACAAAAAATTAGCCAGGCAGGGTGGCACACACCTGTAGTCTCAGCTACTCCGGAGACTGGGGCAGGAGAATCGCTTGAATCACCCTGCAGAGGTTGCAGTGAGCTGAGATCACACCACTGCACTCTGGCCTGGGCAACAGACCAAGACTGCATCTCAAAACAACAACAACAACAACAACAAAACAAAACACAAAAATTAACAAACTAAAAAGACTAAGGAACACACTGCATTCCTTCCCTCAGGTGCTTTGCAAGCTCTGTTGAGCTCCCTGAGAAGTGCAAAGAAAATTCAATGGAAAGGGGGAAGATCAGCCTTCTAAACACACCCTTCTCACAAGCAGGGCCTGAGTCAAACTACTGACCTTCTTGGACCTTACTCTGTGAAAGATTGCTTTCTTCCCTAAAATTTCTTGGAACTTTCTCTTACTTGTAAGAGCCGTAAATATTACCTACCATAAAGTATTAGGTTGATGCAAAAGTAATTGCGGTTTTTGCCATTACTTTTCAATTTAATGTATTTGATGAAGTCCATTCACATAATAAACATTTAATGATGGCCTACTATACATAGGGAAGTGTGTTACATTAAAATTCTCAAACTCCTGATGCCCATAACACAATTTCTCTGAGATAATTCTAGAGAATTTCTTTCAAGATATTTACAGCTCTTTCATTCACAATGGCAAAATAATTTGATACAATGTAAATATTCCACTATTTGGAACCAGGGTAAGTAATTTTCTAATTTGAAAATTGTAAACATTAAGATGGTATAGAAACATGGAAAAGGATATAGGTAGAAACATAAGTATATTTCTATTTTATTAAGTACAGATATATTTTATTATGTCAAAAGTATATATAATCATATAAGTAGATGTAATCATATTAATAATTATTTCATATAAATACGTTTTAGCAAATTATGGCTGTTTCTGTATATAAAGCCAGAAAGGTGTGCACAAGAATTTAAATGGCTGAGTTTGAAGTAGAGTTTTTGTATTGTTTTGTTTTGTTTTTGTTTCTGAGACAGTTTAGCTCCTTTTGCCCTGGTTGGAGTGCAACGATGCGATCTTGGCTCACTGCAACCTCAGCCTCCCAGTTTCAAGCAATTCTCTTGCCTCAGCCTCCCAGGTAACTGGGGTTACAGGTATGTGCCACCAGGCCTGGCTAATTTTTTTGTATTTTTAGTAGAGACGGGGTTTCGCCATGTTGACCAGGCTGGTCTCGAACTCCTGACTTAAGGTGATTCACCCGCCTGAGCCTCCCAAAGTGCGGGGATTGCAGGTGTAAGTTACCTCGCCCAGTCTGAAGTAGAGTTTTAAGTGTACTTTTTGAGTATGACAGGTCAGAAAAATTAAATTATTATTACTAATATCACATCATTAGTTGCTTTGAACATTTAGGTGCCAAAATTTTGCAAAGACTTTAATTTGTAAAGGTATTAGTGCCCATAAACATGTTCAAATCACAAATTCTTCAACAACTGATCTAATAATTATTTGAGAAAAATTCGTGATAACTTATTGCCTTATGAAAAACTTTGGACAACTTTGCTTACAGTTTTAATAGTGTCAGTCTTCTTTCGGTGTTAGCAAGGCTATTTTCCAAGAGTTCATTGGCTTCTGCTGCTTATTCTTTACTGTAGGTCATCATTCTCTGTTTGTGGCAAAATAATAATTTCCATAGCAACCGACTGGGATGTTTCAAGGAGAGGATTAAGACTTCAGGAAAGAGATAAACAAGAGGAGCAGATGAATAATGAAAATAATCATGATCCTTATTCTCAATCAGAATAGAAGGAATATTAGGATGAAAATGTACGCTATATGTCTTTCAGAATTACTTCAGCCTTCAACACAACTACTTCAGTTCAGTTTTCCAGGAGACGTCGGCTACTCTAAGATGCAGTCACTCTTATAGTGTAGATGTTGTAGGAATAAAAGGGGCAGGAGGAAGCCTAATCAGAGCTCCATAATATTCCAATCAGGTACACGCCAATTGTACAGAAATACTCTCCAATAGCATCGTGGAAAGATATTTATAGGTGTATGTGAGTTATTATGTGTGGCATATTACAGGGCCAGAGTTAAACGATTTTATTGTGTTAATTTACTTTTTTATAACAAAAGGGGTTCCTAGGGAGCAGCTTAGAAAAGAGTAAGTCATTTGAAGAATCAATTTAAGTGAAGCATGGATTAATATGGTCCACACTTCTCCTATTAAAAACACTCTGGATAAATAAAAAATTCAAAAGAATATTGATGGAATTTGCTTGTGTCATCTGTATTTCAGAGCAAGTATTACATAATAAATGATTAATAACATCACATGTGGACAACCCTAAATGTTTAGCTCTTCGGCTTAAAGCAATTTGCATGTTATACAATCTGCTGTTACGGCTCTATGCTAGATATACCTATGCTGTTAGTTATCTCAGATAGCAGACCAGCAGGCAGTCAGCCAGTTCTGAAGAAAGCTAGCTCAACCAAAGGCCAGGAAATGTTTTTTAATTGTTTTCATTGTGTTATAATTTACATGTGGCTAAATGCACAAATCTGAAGTGCACCATTCTAGTCGTTTTGACAAACCTGTAGGTCCTGTCATCAACACCCAAATCAATATAGCATTTCTACCTACCTAAAAGGTCCCCTCATGCTTCAGTCTTCTCCTCTCACACCCACCGAGACAAGCACTATTCAGATTGTTTCATTGTAGGTGAGTTTGCCCGTTTAAGAACTTGTGAATGGAGTCATACAGAGTGTATTCCTTTGTGTCTGGCTTCTTTTGCTCAACAAGTTTTTGAGATGCATCCACATGGTTGTATAGATCAGTAATTCCTTTTTATTGCCGAGGAGTATCTCATTGTATGAATAGACCGTTTTAATTCATGCATGCTAATTGATCATTTGTGGCCAGTCTGTATAAAATAATTGTAAATCACAAGCCAGCCTGCCTATATAACCCACACCCTCTCTCTCATCTACCACTATTTTGCACTTCTAAGCATTAAAATGAAGTTAAAACCTCATCATTGGGACTGATAGAGAAAGCCGAAATAGTATCATTTTTGTTAAAGACATGAGTTTCATTACTTTCATATTTATACCCAAACTACTTGCTGGGCAACCTAAGTGCAAAGCAGGGATTTTCTCAGGATTGCTTTAATGAATCTACAGGGATTTTAATTAGCACATCAATTATTTCAGAGCTACCACAGGGCGAATGTTGTGGAGCAGATAAACTTTGATTTGGAAGGTCTTCCACTCCTGCCCCTCTCATTGCCCCCTCCCCTTCCCAGGGCCCTCCCCAGGACAGCTATCCTGACGCCAGTCTCACACGGCCTTGATCACAGCTGGCTATGACAGATGGAAAGGGTTCTAATAAGTTAATTCTAGGGGTTAGATAATGAGGGCTTAAGGCTTTTTTCCTGCCAGAGGGAATTTACATTTTAAAAGGGGCCTCTTGCAAAGTGATGCCAGCATGTGGACGGTAATCAATAAATGCTATCTCCATTCCGTTGAAGAACCAAAGCAAACTTAGAGGGTAAGAACGATATTTTCAGATCCAGAGGGACATCATAGCATCCTTTGAATTCGACTGAACTCTACTGATAATGTTGTCATGGAACTGCCAGTGTCCATCCTGCTGCTGAATAAAGACAAGCAGGAGAGTAGACTAAGACACAAAGAGGGAGCAGCCTACTCACGCCTCCAAACCCCATATCCAGACAACTCACTGATAGCTACATGCAGTCCTTTGCAAATAGGGAAGAGTGGGGATTTGAAATGTTCACGTATGCTTATTCTTTCCCCAGCATTCCAGGCTACCCTCAACCTTCCCCCAGTTCAGGCAGCAGAGATGTTTTGTGTATGTGTGTGTGTGCACACCTGTCCTCACAGAAGGGCTGCTATGGAAGAAATGCAGAGATAGAAAAGAGAAATGACTTTGTCTTAGTCCATTTGTGCTACTATAACAAAGTACCGCAGGCTGAGTAATTTGATTGGAATTTATTTCTTACAGTTCTAGAGTCTGGAAATTCCAAGATCAAGATGCCATCATTCAGTGTCTGGTGAGGTCCTTCTTGCTGTGTCCTCACATGGCAGAAGGGTGGAAGAGCAGAAAGGGACCTAAGCTGATTTCCTCCTGCCCTTTTATAAGGCACTAATCCTTCATCACTGCCCAAAGGACCACGCCCATTCATACCACCACAGTGGGGATCAGGTTTCACAGTGGGGATGAGAAGGAATTTTGAGAGACATTCAGGCCCTACCAGAGTTTCCAAATAGACTTTTGAAACTAGAGACAATAAACTCAAAAAGCTTCACTCAAAACATTTAACTCAAAAAAGGTTTTTGAGTTTTAAAAGCCTGGATTATCAGAATCGAAACCAAGGTTCTTAAGGATCAGAGGCATGAAGTTTATACTATTAGCCACAGATTTGAAAACATTGCTTCCCAAAGGACATACAGACCCTCCACACTGAGGGAGGAGGAGGAGGAAAGCTATTGAGACACTGATAGGTGTCCCAAAGAAGGAGTCACACCTGCCCCTGGGCAAGTCTGGCTAGATAGAGCCCCCTGCTGAGTTTGCGAATCTGAGCACAATCAAGGGTTATGTCTCACTCCTTAGTTGGGGTTCACAGAAGAGCCAGATCTTCTAGACCTTTCCCACAGTAGTGTGGTAGAGCAGCAGCAGTAGATACTGATGACTGCACAGCCTGTCTGGGCAGCAAGACCCTGAGGCAGTCTCACTCCCATCTACCCTCAGTGTGATGAGGGAAATTACCTTGATGCCATGACAGCCTCTATGCTACCGGTACACTGTTGCACAGGCCACCACAGAGATACAGGGCTAAAAAGGATCAGAGACCAAATTAAGATATTCAAAGCACACAATTTATTAAATCAATTTATCCATACAGCAATCAAAAAGGGGAAAGCAATGGGATGGGGTAATACACTTAGGAAAGGGTGCAAGAAAGGCAGAAGGACCACACTACATAAAACTTGGGCTATGAAAGACTCATAGACACTGCTCTCTCCCGCCCCATCAGTCTTCCCTCCTGATGGTGTGGCTATGAGGACCAAAGATGAGCAAAGAGGCCCGAAACACAGAAGATGCCTGGGACCAGCAAAGGCAGTTGTTTTCTAGGACACACACACTCACATTTCCCACAAACACCTGGAGCGTACATTCTCATCCCCAAAAAACATAAGGGATGGCCAGCAAACCAGAAGATACAGTCATCCGAGAGACCAATGACCAGAGACCAAGTAAGAACTCAGACTGCTCGGCAGATGACAGTTAGAGGATTGAGAACCAGGGTCTCAAGGAGCCTTCTAAGACATAAATGCAATCTAGGGATAAAGAGAGGAGGGGGACCCCCTGAAATAACAGAAATCCTTGTTTTGACTGAGTTTGCCCTGTACTGATTATGTTTTCCACCACTGGGAAGAATGGGGACTCTGAATCTGTCTTGTCCAAGAAAAGAGATGGATTCTGTATTTGACACTGCAGACAGTGAATGCTTCCATCATCTCAGAAGATTCTATAGCATTGTTCTATATATAAACTGAATAGTAGAAAAATAAAGTTACATATTTGGAATAGCTAAGCGTACAGACTGACATTGCTATACATATACACATTCATCATTACTGGGGTATCATCAATTCTACTCTTTCTTTAACCTTTTGTTTGTTTTTGTCAGATTAAAATACAGACTCAGCCACTTGCTTTCACTGAATTTTCTCTGTGTCCAGTGGCCTCTGTGTTCAAGATAGCTAGCTGCAGGAAAAGGATTTATCAAGAACAGTGAAACCAACACTGATTAGGGAAAGAAAACCACAGTATCGTTTGCTAGATAAGGCCATACCTTGGGGGAATATGTAAGGACTTTAGCTGTTTCTCTGAGTAAGATGGGAATCTTAGGTGGTTTAAGAAGGGAAGTGGCAACATCTGGTGCATATTTTAAGATACTCACTCTAGCTGCTATGTGGAGAATTAATTGAGAAAGTATTAGGGTGGATGTGAGGAGACCATTTATTGCAGTACCCTAGGGTGAAATGATGGCTGCTTGACTCAGGGTTCTGGTAGGGGAAAATTTGAGAAGCAGTCATTTTCTGAATATACCTAATGGGGGTATGGCTGATGGATCACAACTGAGGAATGAGAGGAAGAGAGGAACAAAGAATGAGTCCATGTTAGCCTAGGCAGCTGGAAGAAGGGAATTTCCAAATGTTGAGTTGGGAAAGCTTGCAAAAGAATAAGAATTTGCAGAGGGAGTGTTTGGAACACGACACATTTGAAATGGCTACTTAATTACCCAAGTGGAGACACTACATAGACAGCTGGAGGTGTAAATTTAAAGGTGAGGGCTGGAGATAAAATGTTGGTTGTTACCAGCATCTAGACAGCATTTAACGTCATGAGACTTGCATAAGATCATTTAAGGAATGAGTAGGTGAATGAAGCTAGAGAAGAAAGATCTTCAGGCTGATCCCTGGGCCTCAGCAAGGTTCAGAGATGCAACCAACGCAGAAGTTTAAAAAGCAGTGATCAGGAAAACCTGAAAACCAAGATAGTAGGGTCCTCGAAGCCAAGTGAAGATACAGTCAGTGACTAAATGGTCAGCTGGGGTTGGCAGGTTGAATAAGATGTACACCATGAAATGAGCTTTGAGACCGGAAGCACGAAGATTTTTTGGGCCTTGAAGGGATAGGTTTTGGAGAAATGACGAGGCTGAAGGCCTGAGTGAAATGTAGCTCAGGCTTCCTGGGATGCTCATCTCCATGAAGGATAAGAGCACAAAGAATTTAGCACATGAAGGAACCAATGGATGCTACTGACTTGGATGGACCCAGTGAAACAAATCTATTAAGAGAGATGTTATACACCAGAGAGACAGGACAAGAGCAACTCGAATTAGACAGAAAAATAATTAGAACATCATGAGTCTTCAGGTCCTAACTCACACGGAAAAGGTATCAGCTATAGGGCTTAGAAACACCCAGGATTGCTTGTGTTACTGTTAGATGACTTTTTTCTCAGATTAAATTTAATTCTCTGGCATTACCTCTTAAAACTCTTGGTTTTTCAGATTTAATCATAAACTGTAGCTGTTGTCTGAAGGAGGATCAGATTAGTGGGATTAATAGTATAATCTACCTCACTAGAGACTTAAGTGGGTTTTCTTTTTTAAATAAACATTCTATTTTTGTACTTTTTTAAAAGTGCAGAAGGGCATATAATTAAAAGCTCCACCCTGACCACCTCATCAGAGGAAACCTAATCATTTCTGGGTTGCATCATAAGCACCTATTTCTTCCTTTCATAATAAGTTTATATATATTTTCAAAAATCTATATGTCAATTCAAGAGATTATTGTTCAAAAGGTTTAAGAACATTCAAGAGATTCCCAAAAAAGCAAAAATGTAATTAATTTTCATTATTCTTTTTCTCCCCTCCTCCAAAATTTTGATGACTATCACTTTAGTTCCTTCATAGGTTACTTTCATTATATGCTTCAATAGACTTCGAGTTCTTTTTCATCAGCTTTAGCCATTACCTCCTGATTCATCACTTTAATAGTTAAATATATTAAGACCCTTTTAGAAGTGTTTCCAGATATAGCTAATAATTCCACATCTGTCTCTTTATCCTTACTTCAAGCCACCAGTGTTCAGTGTCATCAGTGTTCACTGAAGTAACATCCTAAATGCTTTCCTTCAGTCCTTTCATATTCTCTAATCTAGAGACTCTCCACTTTGAGCGTGCATTGGAATCCCCTGGTAGGCTTGTTCAATCACAGATTGCTGCCCCCTCCCACTGTGTTCCTGACTGAGCAGATGAGGGGTAAGGCCTGAGGAGCTGTATTTCTAACGAGTTCCCAGGTGAGGCAGATGCTGCTGGTCCAGAAACACATTTTGAGAACCACCGCACTAATCCATTCTCTGCACTGACATGAATCTCCTATGCATTGGCATATAGACTCCTTTTTACGCTGGCACACCTTGTCTTTTTTAAACAGTTTTACTGAGATAGACTACACATATCATGCAATTCACCGTTTAAGTCTACAATTCAATGGTTT